CTTAAAATAGAATTTTCTTAGAATTATTGTTTTCCGTCTTAATGATTTGAATAACACGTAACTGAAAAGACTTCCAGGCAAGGAGGGGGGTCACAAACGGACCGCTTAAATCCCAAACTCGCCTTAGACAGTTTAGGTCTTTTTGACAATGTTTTTCAGTCTTATGGATACGCAAATCAAAGAAACTCGAAACAATAAGTGAGAAAAGAGATTTATTAAAATATGATTTTTTTTATACATAATATAATGTGGACACCCCTTTTTCTGTTAACACGCACACCAAGACACATACAAATACATGCACACACACCATAATATATACATACACCCCAGCATGCAACAAAACCTGCGAAAAGGTTGCATTAAAATATCAAATCACCTTTAAAACATTTGAGTTTCAAATTCCAAGGTTGTAATATATATTAAAATATTATTTCACCCTTACATAGCATGCAATAAAGGACATATGAATGAATACATTATGCAAAGTGATGTACTCGGTCAGATGGAACAAATGGTCAATTCACTGTAAAATTTAAAGTGGCTTTATAGCAGAAGCAAAATTCCAAAATTTTCTGTATTGTTTACGTGAACAGTTCTTGTTACTGTTCACGTGACTTTTTTTTTTTTTTTGGAAAAGTCTACAAGAAAGTAAAACCGTGCTCTGATACCATACTATAACGCCCCAATTTTTCTTTCCTTTACATTAAACACCGGAACGTTACAAAAACTCATTTTTCTTTAATTTAAAAATGCGGAACTATATAAAATTCTTCAATAAACAAATAATTGTAACGTTTAAATTAAAATTATTGAAAGCGTATCTAACCATAAACATAAACTCCTAAGTAATTCAAATAATGCGTTCTAAATTAAAATAGACAAATTGCTAAATTTAAAATGACAAACTTATTTCTTTTTCTCTATTCTTTATCCACTTGGCAGTCCGCATCACTAATTCTCCATTGTTCCAATCGACCCGAACTAATCTATAAAATTAATGTAAGAGTGAGTATTAAAAATACCCAGTAAGATACGTGCAAATTTCTATATACAATTACATAACAAATAAAATCTACACTTCATACCGCTCTTTTTTTATGGAGTATATCGGTGACCAAGCGACACACCCATCTTAGGTCCTCTTAATTTCCATGTAGGAATTTCATATCTCTTTCTCTAGAACCCGAAGGTCCACTAGCATTCCATACATATTTAATCGCATATAAGAGCATAAGGAAACGTAAACACTTTGCACATAAATGTATCTTACCTCGTTGAATCTACAGTATGTTGAAAATCGTTCCTCCGCTTTGAAAGTATGTGATTAAAATACTCGATGTATGAAATTCTATTTCTAATGCTGCTTTCTGTCTTCCTTTTTCTCTCCTTTCTCTCTCTCTCTCTCTTTTATCTTTCTCTTTCTCTATTTCACGTGTGAATTTTTGGTGTGGTAAAATGTGGGATTCTAGCCTACTATTTATAGGTGTAGACTAGAGTAGAAGATAGGTCTTATCCTAACCAAAAGATTTTGCCTTGATTTTTACTAGGCCTTTTTGTTGTTATCAAAAAGAAACTAGAGAGTTGGTTTGTTATCCAATGCATGCCAACGTGAAGAAACATGATAGCTAAATGAGACATCAACTTTTCAAACTCAAATATGATTACATCAAAGATATCTTCTATCATAAATTCTGAAATCGGCAGCCAGCTTTTGACTTTGTTTAATATATTCATTCTTTATACACATACATGGCTGTTTTGAAAAATCATCTAAATTCAAATGAGTTTGAGACTATCTACAATACTATATTTGCAAATAGAAAATTTATTTGCCATCACTTATCTATTATAATATAGTTTATCTTCCAAAATAAATGCTCCAAAATAATTAAAATTCTATCTTATTTTAATAAATATTATGTTTAAACAAAAGGTAGCCTAATTAATCAGCCCTACCTAGAATATTTAATTAAAGGGAATTATATTAATTCCTAATTCTATTTAATCTTGTTTCATTATTCCATGACGGCCTTTCCCGTAAAATGCCTCAATCCATTATATTCTACAGTTATTTTTCCCCTATCTAAATATCACGTGGAGTCTATCAACTCATAAAGTCAAGTAATTAAATAATACTAAAATAATCAATCCCTAAAATCAAGGAAACCTACCCTTCTTTTTCTCCAAAATCAAAGCAAATAATTATTAAAATAAACCTACTTCTTTTTATTCATAACCATTTCTATATGTACACACCATACAAAATCAAGACAATTCCATGTACACGTGTCAACAGCACATCTTCCTTCCAAGTTTTAATTGAATTTGAAAACCAATTTCTTCAAGTCGAAATTTCTTGGTGCTGGGTTATCCAAATCGACTATTTCTTGAGCCTAAAATTCATAATTAAATACTGGCTATCCAACGAGTATAATATTAATATACTTATATTTACTCTATCGAAATTTAATTATTTGACTCAAAGTATAAGAATTTAAAATATATTACCTCTTAGTCCCTCAACTTTTGAAATAATATAGTATAGATATTAAATAAATTTTTATCAAAAAAAATTATTATTATTATTATTTTTTTTGGGATGTTACACGGCGTGCCAAAAAAGAACTTGCTACAAGTACACTGTGGAGTACACTTTAATTTACACTTTGCCTCGTGTCATTACCCTGTTTGACAGTTTAAATTTCAAATAGTTTTCACATCCAATTGACACTTGACAACAATGCAAGCGTCAAACAACGTGCCAATAATCAGTGTACAAATAACAAACTTCAATCGGTAAGGTCCTTGCTATATGTACACTATGGTATATACTTTAGTTTACACTTTATCACGTGACATTACCCTGTTGGACAATTTAAATTTCAAATAGGTTTCCTAACGAATTGACACTTGACAATAATGCAAGTGTCAAACAACGTGTCAAAAATTAGTGTACAAGTAGCAAAGTTCAATTGATAAGAACCTTGCTACATGTACACTATGGTGTACAAACTTTAGTTTGCACTTTGTCACGTGACATTACCCCACTGGACATTTTAAATTTCAAACAGTTTTCTCATCTAGTTGACACGTGATAGCAATGCAAGTATCAAATAATGCGTTAAAAATCAGTGTACAAATTGTAAACTTCAATTGGGAAGAATCATGCTACATGTACACTATAGTGTACACTTTAGTTTACACTTTGCCACGTGACATTACCCTGTTGGACAATTTAAATTTCAAATAGTTTTCCCATCCAATTAACACTTGATAACAATGCATGTGTCAAACAATGTGTCGTAAATCAGTGTACAAATAGCAAAGCTCAGTCGGTATGAAGCTTTCAACATGTACACTTTAGTTTACAGTTTACCACATGACAATACTCTACTGGGCAGTTTAAGCTTCAAATAATT